CGGGACCCGGAATTGTAAGTCGGGGGTATTATACAGCCGCCGAGCCACGGCCAGGAGGTCCGCCTCCGTATACGGACCACGCCTACGCATCCGGCCCCGCTTAGAAGCATCGAGCATACGTAGGGAGAGCGTCTCGGAAGCAGCCCGCGGCCGCTTTCCCTGCAGGAGATGGTCGATCCGGAAGAACGTGCGCCAGCTCTCGCAGGCGCGGTAACTCCGGTGCAAGAGAGTATTTATAGTGAGCGTCGTAGTTCCCGCATACGCGTGGTTGAAGGTATGGAAGGAATGGTTGCTCAGCTCGGCGAGAACGACTAGGTCGAGCTCATCTTCGATGTCCTCTGCCGCGCCGTCTTCGAGATCGAAGTTGGCCCGCTCCTTTACGGAGAACTTCTCCTTCGTGATCGAGGCGGCGAACTGCCGCCAGTTGGACGTATGCAAGCTCGGCACCTTGGCGCGCGCACACGCCTTCCGCAGGCCGGCCGAGAGCGCCCCATCCGCCCACACGGTCCCATCCAGCTTGGCCCAGAGGTAGGGAGAGAGGAGAGCCCCGGGCGCCTGCTGGCGCAGGAACAGCTGCCGCAGCGGCAGGACGTATGCCATATACGTCAGCAGGAGGTCTCCGACCGCCTTCGGTAGGAACCGGATGTTCTCCTTGTACGCGCCCGACTGCTGCTGGCCCTTGTGGTACTGCGTATGGAGCACCACGAGCTTCTGCCAGAGCAGGAAGTGGCGCTGCCGGGCCGTGTTCTGCCACATGGCGGAGAGCAGCTCGGGCTCTCGCAGCGGCGGGGCGGCCAGGTGGACGAGCACGAGTGCGCGTTTAAGAAACTCCTGGGCGTGCGCCTCATAGATGGCCATGGCCCGAGGACCTAAGGCCGTGCTCCCATCCTCACCCGTGGTCAAGAACATCGCCCGGAGCTCGGCGTTCCCCTGGATCCGCCGGAGGAGGGCGAGCTCGGCACCCTCGAGGAACTGCGCATTGCTGGGATGGGAGAGCCAGGAGCCGCCGAAATCGTCCAGGTCCAGATCGTCCTTCAGCCGCCATGATTCCATCGGCGTCAAGTCCTTTGCTTGGAACAGGAGCTCGTCGTAGAGCAGGGCGTAGGCTTGCTGATATTCAGATACTACCAGGTCCGAGATCTGCGACATCCGTAATTCCACCCCGCGGTATTCCACTGTCTGCCCGTCCAAGAACCACCGCGCCTGGTGTTTTGTAATCGCGGCCTTGCCAACCCTGAACAAGTACAGCCGCCACTGCAGAATATGTCCGAATGGCGTCTCCGCTAGCTGCTGGAAGAACTTCTTACAGATCTTCGTAAGGAAGATCGGGATCCGGTCCTCGTCGTCCTGCTCGTGGAAGCAGGCATAGTCGAAGAGGACCAGTTGGGCGGTCCACGTCAGGGCCGACAGGCGGCTGTTGAAATTCCCGGGCTCCTCCCACAGCCCGCGGCCCTTCCCACGGACCTTCCGGCTCAGCATGGCGCAGAAACTCAAGACGGGGGATCTGAACGGCACGCTACCGACAGTATGGCAGATCAAGGCCAGGTAGAGCCGCCGGACGGCACGCTTGAGAGCGAGCGCGGCCTTTCCCTTCTCCTCGATAGCCAAGGCTGCCACGATCTCATCCATAGCTTGGATCTGTGGCGTAGTTGGCTCGATCACGTCTCTGGGCAGCACCTGGTCCGGCCGAGCCCGCGTGAAATGGCCGTCTGCACAATGTACGACGCGGTAGTAGTACGCTAACAGCTGCTTCAGGGTGGTAAAGTAGGTGACCAGGGTGGACGCGTTCTTGAAATACCGAAATCCGTCTGCCCTGCCGGAAGCCCCGGCATAGAATTCGTTCAGGATGTTAGCCCGCTGCCGGGTCATTTTCCGCTCGGGCGAGGTGTCGCTACACAGCTTGTACGCGTCTCGCAAGACAGCCTCGGCGGCCACTAAGATGCGGACGAGATCCGGATCCTGAGCGTCCTCACTTCCGGCATCGAGCTCTCGCTTCGGGAGCAGCTTGTACGAGCTCCAGATCTCCTCATCCCTCAGGTCACCTATGTGGAAGGGGAATCTGGTAACGTCGTGGAGCCACGGCACCCGCTCGGCCCTCGAGTCTCCGATGGCATGGACGGTGCTCGCCTGCCCCTCGCGATCAACCCGCACGCCCTCATAGTCCTGCTCCAGCTGGGCGAATAAGTCCTTCTCGGGCCCTGTCAATCCCTCGACGCTATGACGCGTGCCTAGGCTCCGGGCCTTGCATTCCCTCACTACGAAATAGTCGATCCTCCCGGGGCTGGTGAAGTAGGTCTGTAGCGTGCACTCGTCCCACAACGGGCTCTTCTTATGTTCGGCGGCCTTGCGGCCATGCTGGGAAGCTACGTGCTCCTTTATCTTTCGGCCGTGGCGGGTGCAGTAGCCACAACCCGTCTCCCGGCAGCGGAACCCGCGGTAGCTGGCAAGGTGCTCGATCGGCTCGCACTCGTCTTCCGGTCGGGGCTTGCCCGCTCGGAGCTCGTCTGCCGTCTTCAGGTCGTAGCTGCTCAAGAGCTGGACCGTACTCTTGAGGACGTCTCCGAGGAGGCGATGGGGTTCCGCTCGTAGGTGTCGCTCCTGGCTAGGCCGTCCTGGGATGATGCAAGACCGACAAAGGTGGCATACGACAATCCGATGGACTGGATCATACGAAAAACCATACGAAAACATGAAGAAAAAAAGAAATACCTACTTGCCCGCCTACCCGCCTACCTACATTGATTGATTGATTGATTGATTGATTGATTTTATCTATTCCGTCTCCCTTTGGTAGGCCGAGGAGGAAAAGAAAGAAAGGGAGGGAGAAGAAAAAAAAAAAAAAAAAAAAAAAAACAGTGCACTCTTACCGTAATGCACTCTTACCGGATGTGGCACCGGCAGGGGTGCCGCGGACCAATCACCGCCGCGCGGTTTTGCACTCTCACCAAAAGAGCGGCCTCGCATAAGAGGTAGGGAATTTAACCCTAACCCGGGCAGCGTTTATTTTTTACGTAATGTTTTAGCCTTAACTTTATATAAACTTAACCTTAAATATCCTTAACTTTAAATATCCCTAACCCTGAATATCTTTAACCCTAAATAACCCTAACTTTAAATATCCCTAACCCTAAATATCCCTAACCCTAAATAACCCTAACTTTAAATATCCCTAACCCTGAATATCTTTAACCCTAAATAACCCTAACTTTAAATATCCCTAACCTTAAATAACCTTAACTTTAAATAACATGAATTTTTAAATTATTTAGTTATATATTTTATTAAGTTAATAATAAAGCTATTATTTTCTATAAAGTTATTCCTATATTTTAAAACAGTTAGATCTAGAAGCCTAAACGAATATAAACCTCATTATAAATTAAACTTTTTGTTTTTAACTCTTTTGTTTAATAATTAAGTACTAAAAAAGCTTTTATATCTAAAAAACCACCGTTACTTATGTTTCACACTATAATTATCCTTTTAATTATATTAATATATATTTTACTTTGTTAAAATAAATCAATAATTTATAGTTTCGTTAATAACATTCTTTTTTTATACATTGTAATATATATTAAAAGTTAAATTATTTTCTATTAATTTCGTTATTTACTTATTAAAATATATATAGAAAACTATGTATATATTTATAATTATCATGTTTTTCTTTATATTTTATTGTAATATAACCTTTAACGTAAACTTTATTTATCCGTGATTTATGAAAATATTCAGTTCTTTTTTATAAAAAAATAACGGTACTAACTAAAAAAGAACATTTCAAGGTTATTGTTTTTGTTTTAAATAAATCTATTCTTATTTTATATATTATAACCATAAAAATAATATAAGTCAATACTTACTTTTCTTAATACTTTGCTTATTGATTATCATTATAAAGACTTTCTGTAAAAACCTTCGTTTAACAATATATTTATATGGATAAAGTGTATAAATTAACATTATTAATTCTTTAATATAAGTTGTATAATAATATTAACATTAAAGATAACATTAATATTAATAATAAATAGTTCTTAAAGTAGTATTAAAATATAGTAAAAAGGATTTAGATTATAAAAAGGGTTCAGAATAAATTCTTATCGTTTTAATCTAATTTAATCTCTCTTTATTTATTAAGTACACTATAAATTAGTCTCTAACTTTTTTATAAGCGTGATATATTATAATAATTAATATTATTTACTTTTTATATTATTTTATGTATTTTAGTGATATCAACTTTCTAATAAATGTTATCCCAAATATACATATTTTAATATTAAACTTTCTTCACATTTATTAAAGAAAAAAACGAATAAAAAAAACGAATAAAAAAAACGAATAAAAAAAAGCTGTTTTTTCAATTATATATTACGTTTACAAATTAAATATAAAATATTCATTTACAACATCCTGTGTTTTGTTTTATTATAACCTTGTTATATTTATTATTAAACTTTATATTAATCCAGATAGTTTAATAACTCTATTCGCTATTTAAAACGACTTGTCTAAACAATAACGTATTGTTTAATCTTATATTATAGTTGTTATAATTATAACTTTCTTTTATATTTATTTCTTGCATTTAAACGCACTTTTCTTTAGTTTTTCTCTGAACAACAGAAATATAAACTGTTGAAACGTGCTTTTTTTACTTTAAACAAGGCCCAGCAATGTAGTAGTAATACTAACAGCTTTCCTTACATTACTATAAGTCCTCAGTTCGATTCTAGGCCAAAGCTTTTATAGGATTAGTTAAAGTGTAAGGCATAGCCATGAATGCCCGAGAATCCTAGATTTCCCTTTTTTTTTCTTCTTCTTCTTTTTTCGGCTGCCTCGCGATGCTTGCTACTGCCTCAAACCCGAGGCAAGAAGCGCTTGCTGCTGTCGTCTCGACTACAAAATAGAAACGACCTTTCCCTTTTTTTCCTTTCTACTCTAAGCAGCAGACGTATAAACAACCCTAACGTGCTTCTTTCACATTGAGCAAAGCCTTGGTGGTGTAGTGGTAATACCCACAGCATTCGTTACGTTACTGTGAGTTCCTGGTTCGATTCCAGGTCAAGGCTTCATTTCTCGGATGTCCATGGCACGGCCTTGGATGCCCGAGAATTGTGTATTTTTTCTTTTTTCTTTTTTTCTTTTTTCCCTCTTTTTCTTTTTCTTCTTCTCTCGTTTGCCCCGCCATCCTTGCTACTATTTCGAGCCCGAGGCATAAATAAAAGCGTGGAGAACGCTTGAAAAGATAGCTCTGATGTCGTTAAGCCCTTGCTTTCGTGAGTACTAGCACGTTTTAAAACGTTGGATATAACCTAAAAAAACGCGCTTCCTTCACAACTAATATATAAGGTAATATATTTTACATATAAAAACTGTTTATATATAACCGTATATTTATTTTGTAATTATAATACTAGTTTATAATTAATATGTTATATATACAAACATGCTTTTATTATATAACCTGATCTTAAAAATAATATTATTTTATATATAATTAAATAGAATACCATGATTTGCTAAAAAGCTTATTTATATTATGATATATATTACGTTTATAAATTAAGTATTAATAAAGACTTAAAATACTTTATATTTTTTTTTACTATAACTTTATTATAGTAAAAAGGTTTATATCAGCTATTAATAACACTTTATTTAAATAATAACGTCCTGTTTAATCTTATTTTACAGTTACGATAATCGTAGCTTTTTTATATGCTTATTACCTGTCGTTAAACGATGTTTTCATTGTTTATACTCTACATTAAAAAGGTAAAAGTATTAACACGTGCTTTTTTTAAAGTAAACAAGGCCTGGTAGTGTAGTAGTAACACTAACAGTATTTTTTATATTACTATAAGTCTCTAGTTCGATTTTAAGCTGAGGCTTTTCGGGTTTATTTAATATCTTATAAATAACCTGAACTTTTTAATAACTTTAGCTTTAACTGATATAAATAAAACCTAGGTTATGTTTTAATATAAACCTTAAATCCTAAACATTATATAACATAAACTTAAAATTATTCAATATTAAAATTAAATGTTTATTTTATATAAATAAAGTTTATGAAAATCTATTTATTTATTTATTAATATTTCTTGTGAGTTTTAACAACAGTTATTATATTTGTTAAATATAATATATATGCTTACAAAAACACGAATAATATAAAAGCAGTCGTTTTTAAAGTAAATAAGTCATTATTTAATCAAAGAACAATAATTAAAAGTCAAAGTTTGTATTTAAATATATAGATTTAACAATATAATTAGTAATATCCAAACTAATATATTAATAAGTGCATAAAGAATCATGGTTAAAATAAATGGACACTTTATATAAAGAACTTAATAAAGAACTTAATTTTAATATATATACTTATATTTTAAAATACTTTATATAAGTATTAAAAATCTCAACCTTAATAAAAAAAACCCTCACAATAAATTAATTCGTCTCTTAACTATTAATTACGTAACTAATACACTCTAACTTTAAATTAATATTAACTATAATATTATTAATAAATCATTTTTATCCTTATTGTTTTTGTAATGCTAATTTTATAGTATTAATATTATATATTTTAATATACGTAAAGTTAACTATATTAAAAAATAACTATATCTATAAATAAATAAAATTACTATAAACTTGGTCACTTATAAAATTAATAAATGTAAAATAGTAGTATATATATACAAATAGCAAATATTTTAATGTTTTTAATTTAATGATCTTTTAATATAAATAAATTTAAAAGTAGTTTAATTTTAGTATTATTAACTTTAAGTAATATTTACAATTTAATATGTATAGTTAATTTTAATATAGTTAAGCTTTGATATAATTTACTTTTTATATATTTATTTATTTATTTTAAATTTATTTACTTTATATTTACTTTATATTTACTTTATATTTACTTTACATTTACTTTATATTTACTTACTTTATATTTACTATAAACTTATCTTATTCTTCTTTATACTTATATTTTAAAAATATAAGTTATAAATATACTATTAATAGTTATATAATTAAAATCCTTTTTATGCGTTAATATATCAAAATATAGTGTATATAACTATAAAACAAGTTTATAACTACTTATATTATTAATAACTTATTTACTTTCAATTCTTTTTAAATTTACTTACCCTATACTTACTTTAAACTTGTCTACTTTATATTTATTTTACACTTACTCACTTTATATTTACTTTTACTTTATTTACTATCTGTTTATATTATACTTACTTTATATTTACTTTAAACTTACTCTGTATTTACTTACTTTAAACTTACATTAGTTCTTTACCCTAAACTTACGTTATACTTGTTTTGTACTTAACTTAAGTTTACGCTAAATTTACTTACCTTAGACTTACTCCAGATTTACTTTAGACTTATTTTAAACTTACTTACTCTAGACTTACCTTAAATTTCTTTACTTTGTATTTACTTTATACGTACTTTAAATTTCTTTATTTTATACTTCCTTATTATATATCTACACTGTATTTATATTAAATTTACTTTATATTTACTCCGTTATTATTTACGTTATATTCATTTTAAACTCTTTTTTTAACGTTGTTAAAAATTAATGCAAGTTATAACTATATTTTTAATCAATATAAAGTAAAACTATTTATCTTAAGTTAACAGCTTAAAGTAATATATTTATAACTATAAAATAAGTTATTAACTTGTTAAATTAAGGGTTACTTAATATTTTAATAGTATTTACTTTAAACTTATTTAATATATACCTTACATTTATCTTAAACTTGCTTTAAACTTACTTATTTTATACTTACTTTAATTTATTTACGTTGACTTACCTTGGACCTACCCTAAATTTACCCTAAACTTACCTTAGACTCACTTACCCTAGACTTACCCTAAACTTACCTACCCTGGACTTACTTTAGACTTACTTTAAATTTATTTTAAATTTACCTTAAACTTACTTACCCTAGACTTACCCTAAACTTATTTACCTTAGACTTATCTTAGACTTATTTTAAACTTACTTACCTTGGACTTACCTTAAATTTACTTTAAACTTACTTACCCTGGACTTACCCTAAACTTACTGTTAAAAGTGGGTTCGTAGTTACAGTGCATATAGCCCTGTAATACAAAGGGTCACAGTGTAAGGTTAAGTTAAAAGGTGGGCAAGTGTGTTGGCCGTAACGAAAAACTATAAGGTAATCTACCCTGAAGTATAGAGTGGAATCTACCCTAAAGTGTAGGGTATTCAAGCGAGTGTATTAAAGAACTTAATCTAAAAGAAAACCTAAAGCAAGTACTGGGAGAAAACTCCCCTATATATACAAGTGGCTAGTTCATTAAAGCGTATTTATATAAAAACTCGTACAGGGCTATACAGTAAATACGAGTGCTAAGTTAGGCTAATACAGCACTAAAGTACGCTGTGACTTCAGCTATAAGTTAGTGCTGAATAATGAAACACTAAGTGTAGCCGGACGTTATTAGTGCCTGCACTATAAGCGCTAAGTGCCTTGTAGGGCCCTTTAGCGTACGCTTAAACCTGAACTATCTACTTAGCTAGTTTAATAGTGGACTAGCCAACCTTCCAGAAGGGTATAAAGCACTGTCTGTGCCTTACTAGGTCTATAGACTCACTGTAGGTGGTGTGGAGCCTGTAGCCAGGGTGGAGGGTTCGCCACACGTGCTGTGGCTCCCGGGTAGGGTGTATAGCCACTGTGGCTACCACAGGGTAGCTGTTATAGTGTAACCGCTACAGGGTAGCTTATAATGCTTGAAAATGCCAGCTAATTTTAACATTTACCTACCCTGGACTTACCTTAGACTTACCCTAAACTTACCTACCCTAGACTTACCCTAGACTTACCTTAAACTTACTTACCCTGGACTTACCCTAAACTTACTTACCCTAGACTTATCTTAAACTTACTTACCCTAGACTTACCCTAAACTTACCTACCCTAGACTTACCCTAGACTTACCTTAAACTTACCTACCCTAGACTTACCCTAAACTTACCTACCCTGGACTTACCCTAGACTTACCTTAAACTTACTTACCCTGGACTTACCCTAGACTTACTTACCCTAGACTTACCCTAAACTTACCTACCCTGGACTTACCTTAAACTTACTTACCCTGGATTTACCCTAGACTTACCCTAGACTTACCTACCCTGGACTTACCCTAAACTTACCTACCTTGGACTTACCCTAGACTTACCTTAAACTTACTTACCCTGGACTTACCTTAAACTTACTTACTCTAGACTTATTCTAAACTTATTTACCCTAGACTTACCCTAGACTTACCTACCCTGGACTTACCCTAAACTTACCTACCTTGGACTTACCCTAGACTTACCTTAAACTTACTTACCCTGGACTTACCTTAAACTTACTTACTCTAGACTTATTCTAAACTTATTTACCCTAGACTTACCCTAGACTTACTTTAAATTTACTTACCCTAGATTTACTTACCCTAGATTTACTTACCCTGTATTTATTTATTATTGAGAGTTTATATACTTAATCTCTTAAGAACTGGGTTAAAATAAGGTTCCGTGAGTCTAAGTTTCCCAGCTAGTATGTAAATAATTTATCGGAAATTGATTAAGTGGTCGGGAACGCCTTAAGCCGTGTTTTTAACCCAACTAGGCCCGGTGGGTATATAGGAAAGCGGGCAGTCTCGGACTGAAGCGCATCTTTCTCTCAAGTGGGTGTGTGGCTAAGTAACGAAATAAAGCAGTAAGGGCTGTTCTAATAAAACGCACTGAGAGCTTCTGCTACAGCATAGTTTTTAGGCTGTTAACAGAACACTGAGGGATAACTACGCTGAGGGATAACTATGCTAAGGCATAACTATACTAAGGGATAGCTATGCTAAGGGATAACTACGCTGAGGGATATTTACGCTGAGGGATAACTATGCTGAGGCATAACTATACTGAGGGATAGCTATGCTATGGGATAACTACGCTGAGGGATATTTACGTTGGGAGATAATTATACTGAGGGATAACTACGCTAAGGGATAGTTGCGC